AGGATAGAGCAGGGTTTAGGGCTGTTGTGCATAGGGTCGCTATGAGTCGGAAACGACTCGACGGCACATAACAACAACAACAACAACAGGTTGGAGAGTGGGGGAGGCAGAGAATATCACCTCAAACAAGTCCAGGTTTTAGCTCAAGTTCCAAGGCACAATTCTTCAATTAGTGAAGGCTCTGGTTTCAGGTGAACAGTCAAATCCAAATAATCCAGAAAGGTTTGCCTCAGAGCAGTTTTAAGTCAACTTCTCTTTCAAGCATCCAACAAGAACAGTACAAACCTTTAACTATGGGCTTTATCTCAGGACTTCTCTGCTTACAGCTTGCCATAGTTTCTCCATAGCAATGCCACAGTCTCTCCACCACCAGGATCTCCCTCTAGTTTTGCTGTCACAAGATTTGCTGCCCAGTGTGGGAAGCACTTTTTCTCTTATTCAAGCTCCACACTTGTTAATGATTTGCAGACCATGTTGATTGCTAAGACCATATGTCTGCAGTTAAGGCAGCTGGATACCATAAGGGCCTAACTGTAATGGCTGAAAAAAGGCCAACTTTTCGTTGAACACCACACAAAGTCAGATAAGAAAGAGAATCAAGTGCTACTCCCTAGAAGCTACACCATCACAGCTCTGTGTACAAGTGAAGAGCCTCAAAAAATAAATAAAAAGAACAATAAAGGATGGAAATTTTTAAGGGAAAAAAGGGGGGAATCTATTCACAGATGATTTACAACCCATCAAACACCTACTGAAGGGTCAGTTATGAATTTTCAAACAAAAAGGTTTTTTTAGTTCAAGGTCAAAAACCACTCGGAATTAGCAGATTATGGTCTTGAGGAAAATAGATGTTAAGAGAGGCTGAAGAGTTTAGTGCCAGGGTGAGCTCTAGTTTTCCCATCTCAGATAAATTCTAATAGAAACTTCCAGTTCACAAAAGTGAAAACACAGCCATTTAAGTAAAAGTGTCCCCAGTAGAGATGGACAAAGTGCAAAAATGAAGGGGAAATCACAGACTGGTTAATTTTTCTTTGGGGTCACACAAGAGAAGGTGAGTCAAGGCAGGGAGGAATTCCATTGGTTATAAGTGCCTAGGCAGGATATAAAAATTTGAAATCAGAGTCATAGGATGCTTACATGCTATACTTTCCAGAACATGTTATACAACTATCTGTTGTCAGGTACTTTCAAGTTGACTAAGACTCAATAGAGACTTTATGAACAATGAATCTGAACCCTGACCTATTCTGTACCATCCTCATCATCTCTGGTATACTCAAACCCACTGTTACAGACACTGTGTCAATCTATCTTGTTGAGGGTCTTCCTTTCTTTTGCTGACTCACCACCTTTCAAAGCATGATGTCTTTTTCCAAGGAGATACCCAAATTATGTGAGACAAAGTTTTATTATCATTGCCTCTAAGGAGCACCCTGGTTGTACTTTCTCTAAGACATATTTGTTTGCTCTTTTGGTAGTCTATGGGATATTCAGAACTTTCTCCAGTACAACTCAAAGGCACCTCTCAAACTGACACTGTTTCTCTTTAGTATCTTGGAGCAGTCCTTGACAGATTTTTTTCAATGAAACATGTCTTCTTGATTTCTTCTGGTAACAGGGGTAATGACCGTAGATCCTAGTAAGATGAAATGGTTGACAACTTCAACCTTTTCTAAATCTATCATGATGTTGTCTATTGGTTCTGTGGTGAGAATTTTGTTTTCTTGATGTTGAGATGTAATCAATATTGAAGGCTGCAGTGTTTGATCTTTAGCAGCAAACATTTCAACCTCTCTTTACTTTCAACAAGCACGGTAGAGTTATCTGCATAATGCAGGGTGTTGATGAGCCTTACACAATCCTGATGCCACATTCATCTTCATAATGTCCAACATCTTAAATGATTTGCTCAGTACACACACTGAAAGGTATGGAGAAAGGATACAACCTTGACACACATCTTTCTTCATTTTAAGCCAGATTTAGAAGAGGCTGTAGCACCAGGGATATGACTGCTGATTCATGTGGATCTTTGCTGAAAGCAGTAAGTACCAAAAGGATGTCTATTTGTGTTTTATTGATGATGCAAAGGCAATTACCTATGGATGACAAATTATGGCTGACACCGAAAACTGGAGTTCCAGAACACTCAACTGTGCTCATGTAAACCTATAGCTTATGTGCTTATGAAACCTATAGCTAGACAAAAAAGATGTTGTCCAGAGTACGGGTTTAAAATCAAGAAAGGCTGTTGACCTGAGGAGAACCTCATGCACTTACTGCAGAGGGTCAAGGACTGCAGCCTTCAGTATGAACTGAGTCAAGAAGACAAAGATTCTCACCACTGGACCAATCGGCAGCATCAGGATGGATGGCGAAGAGATTGAGATTGTTCACAGCTTCAGTTTGC